CATCATGCAACCTCCTCTCTGTTCTAAAACAGGTGTGTGTTGAAATGGTTGTCATGGCTGTATTGGGGATGGATGCTTTTTTAAAGAGTGGTAAAGGAGTGTGTGTGTCTATGGTTATGTGTGTGTGTGTATGTGAGAGAGAGGTTGTTTATTTGTGTGTGTGCCTGTGTGTATGCAGTGAATCTGAAATGAGATTTTATGAAATGCGTACTGTCTGAGAAGTGTATGTAAGAGCTTGAATAGGGATGTAGTTTTGTATCTAGATAGAACTGCAGCATAATTATGTAACAACAAGTACCTTGCAGAGTGTTTGACATAGATGTACACCATTTATATGTATTGCAGTGCACCTGCTTTCATTTTGATATGGGCCATTCAACAATTGCTGCTCTTTTTTCAATTGTATTGCATACCAGTCTTGTGCATTGTTATTTACACAATGCTTTTTTTCACCACCAATTGTTCATAGGTAACGCTGGCGAGAAAGACATGGTAATTTCTCTAACTCTTCGCACTTTGTCTGCCCTTTTTTGTGGTTACCAGTAAGAAAACATCAGGTGATAACTGTCTCATCAACCATCTTCTTGGCTCGATGGTCACATTTTTTCTGCCATGCTTATCCTGGTTAAGTTGTAACAGTTCTCATTTCTGCTCAGGTTTGGACAGATTGGAACAAATCAGTACAAGAGATTATGACTTACAAATGTATTTCTGACAGCTAGAGCCACAAAATCAAAAATCCACAAAATCAAAAAACTTCGACAAAATATCTTGTTGACAGCAAATTGTTGTTAAAATTGTTTGTCTTTTGCATCTGTGTAGTTTTTTCATTCATTTATAAATGTATGTAATGTGACTGAGGAAAATGACATCAAGGAAACATGAACATTTTTGACATCTACACAATATTAAAATGATTTACACGATAGCATGCTTTCAACAAAGAATTTTTGTGGCTTGAACAAGGGGGCCATAAATTACGAGTGTTTCAGAAGAATTAAAAGCACATTTGTTTATTCAATTACTGCAATCACCTGGGCAAAATTTCTTTTGACTTGAATGATACATACAATAAAACTTTGTTTTAGATGTTCAGGAATTGAAACAGCCTGAGTGTACATACACTTGTTCCAGGCTGTTTTTTTGTGCGAAAGTGGGCGTTTGTTTATTCCTTGAATCTTGCTTTGCCATGTGTGTTTGTGGGTGCGAGCCATTTTAACCTTGCTTGGTATGTTCTTCTCTCAACAGATGGCTCCCGGAGATCCGTTGCTATGGTAACTGGTTGTGTTTTCTGTTGGCGACGAGTCTTGACAGTTCTCTAAGATTCCTTACCAGTTCCTAACTGCTGTGTTAAAATCTGAGTTCTAACTATGAACATTTTTGCTTCTACCAAAATAGGTCATGATTTGATATCAACATCAGTAAAAGTAACATTTTTTACCTGTCACAATTTTACCTAAAAAATGCAAAGTAAAACCATTCTTTGTCTAAATTTTCCTTCTACAGTTGTCAAAAAAAGTGCAATACATTTGTACTTAAGTGCATATACTCTTTAAAAGGTATCCAATACAATTTCAGAGCAGGAAAACAAGAAAATATTCTAGAACAAGCCTAGGATACAAAACAAGCAAGTGTTTTCCTTCAGTGACATCTCACACATAGATATCAGTATGCAATGGGATAGGGTTGATTCAACATCCAAAGAATGACCAGAAAATTGACTTTGAAAATCCAGTGTTGCTGCTCTGAAACTGCAGTGAATACCTCTACTAAAACACAATACCGTGGTGAAATTCACAGCCATTGCAGGGTTCTAATTGGAAGAGATCTCTCTGGAAGAATCTTCTTCCCGCTGTAATTACCTGTCAGCGTTCATTGGCTAATGGCCGGTCAACCCGGGTGTGTTTCCTTTGTATGGTGTAATTTGCCCCGATTGGAATACCAGCAGACAACCCCAGAGGGTAACAGAATCATGTTCCCCACCTCCCACGGCATGACAAGTTAATACCCCCCACCATTATGTAGGAGCCATTTGTGAATAAATGATTTACGCCTTCTGTAAGTGCATTCCTGCTTTCCTGGAATGTACCAATTTCAACTGCCAACTTCTTGACTGCAAAAGATTTGACATATTGCAGGAACTATCCAGGTTTGTACATGATATAGTTTGCCATATATTTCCCATTCAAAGCCCAAAAACATACTGTAGACCTTTGATTGGTAGAAACATTAAAAACAGCTTTGCACGTTTAATGCCAAAAAATTGTGATGACTAAGATTGGCTCTTTACGAAAAGAATCACCATTGTACTTAAATTCAGTTCTTTGTTTGTAAGGCCACACCAACTTGATTTCTTGTTCAGAAAAAATATGAAGCGACAGGCAAAAAAAATTAAAACTTGCATCCTCCTATAGCCCCAAAAGCTAACATAGAAGCCATGATGTCAACATACCATGAAGGCTGGTTTAGAGTTTAAACAACAAATTTTGAACTTAAAATCAAATTGCTGCATTGATAAACTGTAACAGAGTTAGGAAGACTAGTACTTTTGGGGCCAAAATAAATATAAGTATTTGGGGTTGATTCATGACCTAAACCTTTTTTTTTTCAAATCAGGTAAAAATGAAGCGGGTTGGTGTGGCTTAAATCAAAAGACATTTATATGAAAGCTGTCTTGACTGGTCAACAACTAAAATGTCCAGATGAATTGATGTCAAACTGTGGTCCAATGTATTGGTGTTTCCTCCCAGGAGCTGTGTATGAAGAGATAACAGGTGTGGTAAAAGTGCTGTCACCTAACCTTACACCTGCAATCTGTTTCTGTCACTTCCTGCTGCACACACTAGCAGTTTTGTAGGACTTGCGTACTGTAAAAGGATTGACTGACTTCCAGTAGACTTGCCATACTTGGCAGAGTGGCTGTCAACACTTCAGTCCTGTGTTCTAGTCAGTGTCCATCTTTCTGTCATTTGGCAAAATTTTTGCTTCTTGTGACAGACAAAAATTTGCAGAATCTGTCGTCTTTGATGGACAAAAATTGGCTTGTAAAGAAATAAAAAAAGAGCTTAGTCTACCAGCAAACTTTGCCCCTCAAAATGCAGGAAATGGCATTTCACGGTGGTAAAATCTGGGTTGCAAAGTTCCCACATGCCATAGAACCCGAACTGTGTTCGATCGTGTTCGATCTGGGCAATTCGAATCGAACCCGCGTTCTATTTCGGGGTCACCTGCAGTCATTTACAATAAAGCGGCAAAACAAGCCTTTCTGCCTCCGTGCCGTTCAACAGATAAAAAACAACACTTTTCTATAGATAAAAACAGTTTCCTGGACAGTACATGTCCGCTATCATTTTTTTGTGGACATGTAACATGTAGCGAAGCTACTGTCGTATCCTTGGGTGACCTTGAATACTGTAATGATTCTTTACGCCAGTATAAATAACACAATGCAGACTTTTGGTCGACATGACATGTCTGCAAAACTCGTTTTAACCTGGAAGCATGGAAAGTCAAGCATACCCCATTTACGGCTCAAAATGACTGTAACGGTTGTCCCGAAAATCGTGTTTTAGGGATTTTTTAAAAATGGTCTCAATTTTGAATCATGGGTAATTTAGTGCGAAAAATGTAAAGAAAAATCATTTTTTCACCAATATGTCGACAAAAACTAGACTTAAAATCAAAAATTAAAAAATCCCTAAAACACGATTTTTTATCTTATTCCTAGTCGTCGAAAAATATAAAAATCGGGGATCTGGGGTAATATACGTAGCCAGGTTAAAACGATGTTTGCCTAAAAACATGACATGACTTGTGGTCTTTCAGAGCGAAATTTTGAAAAATCAATGATTTAACATAAACAGCTAATATTGAAAGGATGTTAAGGTAATAATTTCATTTTAATTTGACGAAATTTACCATTAAATCCTTTTTGTTTATTTTCAAGTGTTTTACTGGTAGGCCAAACTCGGCCCAAATAGCGTCTTGTAATCCGATACCTTTTAGAACGCGCCTAGCAATGGGAAAGAATACCGTAGTGACAGACCGCCGTGTTTCAGAGGGTCAAGATTTCACAAATTTCTTGCTAGAGCATTGATGTGATTTTAGGTCTAACAAATTCACAATGACAGAAATACATTCCAGGCTGGGTAGAACACTGTTGTAGTCAGTGAACATCTGTACCATCAGATAACTTTTCAAAAACATGGCCTGTGCATTACAACTGCCCCTAGGACAATTGCAATTACATTCTCAATAGGATAATGAAAGAAAGCAGACGGTAGCAGGATGGGACTTATAATTTTTTCATGGCGACAAATGTCTCTGACCTGTAATTGCTGGACAAAGGAATGTCCAGTATGACAACCACAAGTTAGTAGTGAAGCAAATGCACTTTACTTAAATAATGTATTTGGTAAGTGGTATGGCGTGACTTACACAGGAAGAGGCTGTTTCTTGCATTGTCACACAAAAGACAACCTTTGGTTAGGGGGGAAAAACTAGGCCTTGTCATAAAATGAAGGATGATTTTACAAATTAGAATATTACTTCCACATGTGTTTGGTGCAAAGAGGCAGCAAAATGGGCTTTTATCAATACTGGTTCTTTCCTTGGTGCTGAAAAGGTTGTTACAGTTTCCCAACACTATTTTGGCAGTATTTTTCCTCCGTAATGGCATATTTTAATTGAAAGCTTTACATTACGTGATGAACTAGTACATATCTGGCTCAATTTTTGAAAACAGTCAACACTTTGTGGAGAGTTTTCGACCACAGAAAATTGCTGATATACTTTTGTCACTTTTCGATTGTAAATTTTTTGATGATGTATAGAACTCTGTCCAACACAGCAGTAGGGACTGTGGAAGGCAATAGGTATCCTGGACTTGGGGTGCTGGTGGCTCTCATGCGTTTTGCTGTTCTCCACAATTTTGTTGTTTCTTGCCGCTGTGTAGTGCGCCGTGTAGTGAACTTGGATACCACTGTCGTTTTTCGTTACAGGCCGCACCGACCCCCTCCCCATCGAAGTAAAAGACGACCTTCTCGGCGTCGGACGAATGGAAATGGAGGTACTAACACATGCTTTATCGAGCTTACTTAATTTTCAAGCTCAGTAACTTTTCTTTTATACTTTTGTATGTCAACATAAGTCAAATTTCTGCAAGACAATTTAAAATGAAGAGTTAAAGTCACCCCTTAAATTGCAGTCTGAATTCGGGTGTGAAAATTTCCAATTAGTATGTTAATAGCAAAAGTCTCTGTTTAGTGGTAATGTCATTTTTCTTAACCCCACAGGGATCTAAATGATAACCTTGATATATTACATGTCTGCTGCTGTTTGTGAACGTGTTATTGCTTTCTAATTCAAGAGTTTTTTTCACAATTTCATTGGGGAAAACAGCTTGGAAGCCACCCTATTTATTGTCTTTTTATTGTTAACATTCTTCAGATTACCACAGGTAAGTATTATTTGCACTTTTTTGATGTAAGAAAAAATGTTAAACTTCTTGGCTTTGAACAGAGTAGCTTAGAGTTAACCAGAATGTTGAAATTGCTTGATTTTACCAAGAATGGAAGCTTCTGTGGTCTTGGTGCTGTTACTGATTTGTTCTTCCTTTGATTTTGAATTATTCTTGTTTATTGTGGTGCTATTCTAAAACGTCGTCTTGGGGTAAGTCAAGAATATGTTGTGCAATAGATACTGTAAGTCTGGTTATTTTTCTTCTGTGAATTGCAAAACAATTGGTTTCATGACTAACCAATATAGATAAGGTCTGGATACTGCAATAAATTATACAAGAGTGTTAAAGGACTTTCATGAAGACTGCTGCAAATACGAAGTTGTTACAATAACCAGATTTACGGTATGAAAATCTTTGCTCGTACCCATGGCATCTGAATGTTATCATCCCTTTGACTCCTTTGACATTTGATATGCAACCTACACAAAGGTAAGGAAATGTAGCTTCTTTATCGAGATTAGCCATCTCTTGTGGGATTCCATGGGGAAGGGTTGCATGCCTTTCGACAGATAAGGTACCCTATGCATGTTGTACAGTATGAGGTTACACACACACACACTCACATGTATAGCATTTATCATACTCTATTGCAATAATATTTATTGTGCATTGCTAGTTTTTTGTGCACAAGGTTATTATAGTTATTGTTAGTTTTAAATGCTGTATCTGTAGTCTTCAAGGTTTTAAGCAGCACACTTTACACAATGTAAATATTATCAGGGTATGAATATTATATGTCATATCATATTTGTGAAATGGAAAGAAAAAAGATGTGAATAATATGAAGATATGCTGTGATATTTTGGGAAATGTACTAGATACTCTTTACACAAAAACACACAACACACACACACACACACACACACACACACACACACAAAACCTCTATGCATGCAAAAACGTTTCTAATAGGCCATGTTTATTTGATCATTATGGATGACATCCTCTAGGAAACTCCAAAACAGCCAGCGTGTGAATGAAAAAAAAAAGTTTGTGAAAAAAAGTTGCTTTAATGATGAAATCTATGTGAACATGAAGATTGAAGAAACGACTTAACACACAGAGTTTGCTATAATAGCAAATAATGAGACTCTTCTTTTCTCTTTTTTCTTTGTAATTTACGGCATATATTTTGCTTATTTAGCAGCTGCTTTGTACAATTTACAGTATGTTGAAAACAGACAAAAAATCATGCGCGCAAGATGTCATCCATATAATCAAATCAACATGGCCTTAATACAGTTATGGCCTTTTATACAGTTGTTGCCATCTTTTGTAACCAGTGGCATTTTTTGCCATTAAAGTATAGTGTATTACGAGAGTTATGTAAGCTTCTTCACTTTGAGTTATTTATATCACTAAGAACCCAGAAAGCACTTGAGCCTCCGCAGGAAGCTGGCTTAAGGTGAGTTCTTTTATCCTCAAGTTTAATAATCATGTCTTCTTGGCTGGGAGTAGTTTTATTACCTTCAGATTGAATAATTGACACACTGTGAAGTGCGTAAGCAGAAAATGGCCATACTTACTGATAGGCCTGTTAATATTTATGAAGGAATGAAAGGTTGGGACAAGTTCTCTTTACTGTCATGTAGTTTTGCACACATTGATGTATCCTTGTGAATGTATAGTCCATTATGTATAGATAGCCTGAGGCCCATGTCAGCTGTGGTTGCCATTTTTGGCTCTTCCTATAGGCATTTTTAACATTACAAAGTTGTTGGCATTACTTCTTCGGCTTGTTTCCAGTTAGAGTGGAAGTTTTGGACTTTAAATCCTGCAAGTATGTAAAAGTTGCCTTAAGAGGGGTGCAGAAGAACTTTCACAACTTGTTTGCCAGTGTGCCGCCTAGGTTATCCTTCAGTTCACATCGACACACCGTTTCAAATTCCTGTTGTAAAGTCCTTTTACAGCAACAGTTTCTTTCCCCAGACTGCAAATTATGGAACTCTCTCCCAAACACATGCTTCCCTTCCGAATACAGTCCTCAAGCTTTCAAAATATACAGTCACTGCCATTTTTTGGCATAGACAAATGTCGTATCATCTAGCTCAGTGCTTAAAGAAAGAATTGTGTATATCATTTAGCATTACATGCACTTATAATGATTTGTTGTTGATCTGACACGAATGACCAAAGGCATTTCAGCATACATTTGTATAGTGTTTCAGAATGTGTAGGTACATGTAGTTACAATGTAGCTGGTACAGTTAATATTTGGATAGTTTTTGCTTTGTGAATAATAAGATCGCTCAATTTTGCTTCTAAAAACAGCAAGTCAGCAGCCAAAGATAGGAAACCATTAACAAAGTCAGCATTGTTGGTGGGAACCACATCTGTCACTATCATTAATGCACCATTACCTGTACACCTGTCAGACCTAGGGAAAAAATGTTGTTTACTGTTTCAGTCGTTAAAAATTAGGTCGGCAGGTAGGGATTATCTTTTTGCTTTCTTCTTTTTTGTTAGACTTTGGCAATCTTTAGTGATCCAACTTATACAGTTTAAGAAAGTAAAACTTGCATGAGCACACTTCTATTTTCAATGTCAATTTTGAAAAACCGATCGTACAACATTTCATCACTCAGGTGTGAGATCATGGAGCTACAATGTAGAAAAGGTTGATCATCTCTAAAAATTTATGTTCCTTGTCCACGCAAAACAGGCTAGGGTCGGCAGTTTCTTCTAGGGTAGCTTGCAAAACAGGAAACACAACATTTTTTTCCTAGGCCTCATCATGTGATCCACTAACAATGGAAATACATGGTTTGGTCCTTAAACAGTCCACAGTAAACATACTAGATATTTCCCTAAGTTTACATTTGATAGCCATTTTGAAATTTATCACCTGTCCTTGACGGCATAAAAAAGATGTGCAATGCCAGTTTCAAGGTCAAATGATTCACCAACACTGAAAATACTTGGGTTGGTTCTTGGACAGTACACTGCAAAGCTAGATATTTTTCTGTTCACATTTGATAGCAGCCATTTTGAAACTTCCCGCCTGTCCTTGAAGGCAGACAAAAGATGTACAATGCCAGCTTCAAGGTCAAATGACCATACAGTATTGAGACAGGCAGAAAGCATGGCAACTGCCTCCAGGGAAGCAGGAAAAAATGGATCAATGGCAAGAGCAGATTTTCGTAATGGTCGCTGATATCTGTATTACTTAGTTGCATGGGGACATAAAAAACACACTGCATCCTGGAGATTCTTGGCAATGCACGGCGTAACGCTACTCCACAGTGGGTGAGTTGTCTCCAACTATGACTGCCTTTTTGATAAGGTATAAATAATTCTGATTAATGAGGTAATGGGAGATGGGATACATTCTCAAATTGCAATTAGGATAATTGGCCTGATAAAGGTTGTAAATTAGTGTCTTCACTGTGAGCATTGTCGTAAATATTTGCAACTTCGACTTCATAGAAAGAGAGATTCAATTCCTGAAAGCTATTTTTGTCATGATTAACTAAGATTACATGTATGTACATTGTGTACATGTTCTGTATCTGTTTTCATCGAACGGTTTGGTCGGTCTTCTGTATGACACACCAGTTTTGCAGGCAGCTGCAAATATGTCATTGGACAACCCAACATGCGATGTGCAAAATGCACAGTCATGAAGTTATTTACGGCGGTCACAATTGAATTCACTGCAGCTCCTATTTGCTCTTCTCTGATTTCATTTCGAGCTGTTAAAACCCTATATGGCTGAAACCACGTCCCCACTGACTTTCTAATTGGGTCACCGAACACTGTCTATGGACTTTTCAATCAATTCTGTCTACCTTCAAATTCATGGTCCAATAGGATCATGTAGAGGAATTCCATGTTAACAGATTCTATCAGTAGGGATTTATTTTGACTGTCGTATTTGTAGTTCAGCAAAGTGAGAGGAACCAAAAGATTTGTGACTGAGATAATCTGATGCATATATTTCAGGCTGTATTTGATTGAGCTACATGTACTGTACATAGACTGATATTATCATGACACTTTTATCATGACAAGCTGTCAAGAAATAATGGAAACAGAACATAATTTTGTATGTAGGCATGTATGCTGGTACTTTACGCAATTTTGCCAAAGGAAGCTAATCACTGAATCAGAAATCCATGACATCCATCATGATTAGATGTCCTCTAGAATATTAACTTGCTAAAACTTCTAATTTTGTTTTTCCACTTTTGAAACCAGTTGCTGATGCCTTCAAAATCTGTATACAGTATACATGTACATGTAGCTGTATAGAAGGGCCATTCTCTCACACCACAATTTGTATTCGTTATAACAAAAGTAAGCCGGAAAATGTTTGGTACGAAGAGGCAGCAAAATGGACTTTTATCAATACTGGCTCTTTCCTTGGTGCTGAAAAGGCTGTTATTTCTTCCCAACCCTATTTTAGCAGTATTTTTTCATGGTAATGGAATGTTTTAATTGAAAGCTTTACAATATTAGTACATATTTGGCACAATTTTCAAACAGTCAAAATTCTTTTTAGTGCTTTATGAGTTTTCGACCATAGAAAATTGCTAAGGTACAGTTTC